AGTATATGCCTAACCTGAAGCATGAAGAACCACCCACTCACTTTATTCATTTTCCATAGCTAATATAAGCTCATCATGGTCCTTGAAACTTGAGAACCAAAATCCATTTGAATGGGAAATTTTTACTACCTGGAGTACAAGATTTTGATCATTTGGTCCCTGGTTTAAGTCCACAGCTCTGCGTCCTGTTAAAAGTTCAAGAAGGACCACTCCAAATGCATAAACATCGCTTTGTAAAGTGAGCTTCCCTGTCTGTCATTAGAGAAGACTACTCAGAAACCAAACTATGGCTGAGAATTTAGATTGAACAGAATGGCCAATGGGTTCTCTAATATTAGAAATTGTGAGACCTTTTGGTGTTCAAATACATAGGTCATACATTACTGCGTTTATTAGGAAAAGGGAAAGTAATCAAAACTTATGTTACTGATTGGGACTCAAACTGCATGGTAAGATAAACTGTAAATTTTATGTCCTGTTGGAGTGAAAACATTGTTTCAAATGGATCAAAGCCACTTACGCTCAGCAATGTGTCAGACATAGCATGGCCAAATATTAACTCAAAAGTTTGAGACTTGGAATGTCAAAGCGTAAACCTAATAGAGGACACAAGTTCGTGGTGGCATTCCTTCGTCCACACGAGAAACCTATCCTCTTAGTGTTTCATATAAGCTTTAATTTGGTGTTTTGCATGAAAATGTCAATTGTGAAGTAGGTTTCATGAATATGATCGAATCTGAAAATCTATTCTCTGCTTCTTGTTTGATGTTCTATGATCCTTAAAACCTTTTTCACCTGGAAATGGATTTTTTTTTAAAAAAAAAAATTAGTATTATCTTTCCCTACCCTAAGTTATGAGAATTATTGGAATGCATGGCGCTTAATGTTTTATACTAGTGAATTTGACTTACAGAATCTGATAAGATGACATTCTATTCTACACTTTTCGGAGATAGGCAAAAAATGAACGGTGTCTTATGAGTCAGAGATGCATACCGATGTATACTCAGGATCAAAATATCCAAATGTGCCAAGAACTCTAGCAGTCACATAAGTCTCCTGCTGGCCCTCTGGCATCATCTTGGCAAGTCCAAAATCAGATATCTGTTGAGAATAGGAATCTGAGTTGCAGTTTCAAAGCTTTACTGTGTTAATGCTTGAGAAAAGCATCTAAGTATCTTACCTTGGCTTCAAAGTTGGAACTTAGAAGAACATTAGTGGACTTGAAATCCCTATGAACAATGGGAATTCCAACTGCAGAGCTTGAATGGAGATAAGCAAGTCCTCTTGCTGCTCCTAGTGCTACCTTGAGCCTTAAGAGCCAGTCCATTTTTGTTTCCCCAATTCCTACAGCAAAGTTGCACATTGGTAGATGTTAAACAGAAAAACACAATATTGATAAAACAGATTGTGTGTTTTAAATCAACCATTTAAGTGATCTTGCAGGTTTCCGTTTTGCATATATTCATATACTAGAAACCGGTGCTTCCCATCAGCGCAATAGCCAATTAAAGAAACCAGATTTTGGTGCTCAAGTCTGCTTAAGATATCAACTTCTACCCGGAATTCGAGCTCCCCATCAGCTTCTTTGAATGGTGGAAGTTCCATTTTCTTGATCGCAACAACCTGCAGGATGCAAAGGTGAAAAAATATGTATGTGTCAACTATTATTTGCCTCCTTTTTTTCTTTTTTCTTTTTTTTTTTCTGGTCCCTTCCTATAGCTGAAGTGTTACAAAATGAAATAACTGGAACTTCTTGAACTGAAAAACTTCTTCAGGGTTTTAGCGCTGTCAATGGTATAACTGAGTTTATTTATGGGGATAATTCATTCATAGAAAACATTGTGGATACCTCTCCTGAGCGCAGAGTGCCCTTGTAAACTCGGCCAAATCCTCCTTTGCCCAGCAGATTCTCATCACAGAAAGAGCATGTTGCCTCCTCCATCTCCTTGAGTGTGAAAACTGAGGATCCGTGGTGTCTTTTTGTTCTATGGGGTGCTTGATCCTCAATCTGCCAGTACTCCACAGGCTTGTAAATCCCTGAAAGATGGGTTGGTAAAGAAGATGCTCTATGTCAGAGAAACAATTGTTGCAGGAAAAGAGATTGCCATCAAATGAGGAAGAATTGAAGAACATACAAGGGTCTGTATGTTCCTGGAACCTGCTTCTCCTGCGCTTGTTCCACGCTGACACTAACGCTCCAAAAGGCATGGTTCCTCTTCCCTGAATAGATCAATTTCTCTGTGATGATTGAATTGACAGACTATATTCCTTGAGACAGACAATTTGGATGGGGAATCTATTTACATGACCCCTCTAAAATTCGGGGAAATGGCTTCATGTCATACAGAACTTGATGGAGAGTGCCTTAGAAGATCAAGTTTAGCCTAATTCAAATCGAGTTCTGTGTTAGGGTTGAAGAGTATGAACAAAAGGGTATGCGAAAATGAGATGGTAGATGAATCCTTTTGTCTCAAGAGTACGTACAAGGCAAGTGAAGCTATATTTACAGAATACTCAACACCTAATTCAAAAGGAGAGGGATTGTTCTTGAAGAACAAGGAAAAGCAGATGCAAGGAAAAGACAGTATTGCTTACTTAACTTTTTATGGGTAGAAGTATGGTGAGGTGGGGGTGAGTTTTGTTTGGTAAAGAAATAGAAACTGCAATCTCCCCCTCCATTTTTTCTTCTATTTGGTTTTTGAAAACGAGAGGTAGCCGTTGAAGGGGTGCTTTCAGTAATGGTTGATTACATGAGTAATCTTGCAAATTATCATTTCACCTACAATTATGAAGATGACAAAGTAAACGATTAGCAAACAAAAATCATGTGGGGTCTAATTAAATCCTAATTGAACCTTCCATGTTTTTTATAATTAAAAGAGATTTCAATCTCAACAAAAAGCAATTCAAGATTTTAGTAGTTAGGATTAGAGGAAGAAACAAATATGAAACTCAAAGTTAGATTCATTGATAAGTAAATGTTGTCTTTTGTAGGTTAAATTTAAGGTTTAAGTTTAAAGGTTAATATTTAAGAAAATTAATTTTCTTGAATATATTAGGTCGACATAATTAGTGTGCTCATAAGATTGTCCGAAAAAGAATTAATATTGAAGTATGCAAAAGCTGATTCAAGGAGATGATAAATACCAAAAAAATAAAAAATAAAAAACAAAGATGAAGATGATATATTAAGGGTAATCCATGAATTGTGTAAAGAGGTAAAATGTGTCTGTGTGATTGAAAGCTCGACCCTAAAATGTTAAGCCATAGTTTTCATCTGATGATATGATGACAATTCAACTTTTGGGTTCATTTGGGTAGATTTTTTTTTTCCCTAAACTAGGTATTGCCATAAGAGTTTAGGTGTACTAAACAACCTTGACAACGTGACTCCATTAATATTAGCTTTCGACATATTGCCTTCATATTAAGAAACAATGGCCGATTATTGCTCAGTTCTTCTTAAAGACCTGAAACAAGGGCCGTCCAACCTTTTTCCCTTTATTTTCTTTTATTTATGGCACGTATAGTATATAAAATGGTTTTATTAACTCTTTAAAGTAGAATGCATTAATTGTATTTTTTTCATTATTTATTATATTAAAAATAGACATTAACTTTACTAACATAGCAATCTGAACAATTCAATACTAATTTTCTTTTAATGAAAAAAAAATCTGAATTTGAGTCACATAGTATGTAGATATAGTGAATTAAAAAATAAAATAAAAATAAACATTGACTATAATTTTATCCAATATCAAACTAAAATCGTGCACATATCATTGATATTGAAAATAAAGTTATTTTTTATATTTTTTACGAGAAAAGAAAAAATCAGAACACTCTAGTGTTAAAAATTTTAAGATGTCTAATAATAACTATAAGATGAATTTAATAAAATTAAAATTTATATTATATCCCACATATTTAATGATTGTAATTGAACGTCCTGATGATATTTTTAATGTTAAAATGTTTTAAATTTTATTTTTCCTATTTTTTATACAAATTAATAAAAATATACCATTAATGTACTTTTATTTTATATTTGTAAAGTTAGACAAACTTAAAAAAATATCAACTTTGACGTTTAAAGGTGAGGCAGTCGAAGTTGAAACTTTTCATAACCTCTTATTTGTTTGGTTTTTAAAAGGTAAAATATCTAAATCCACCAATAGTGATAGAGATGGATTCACTTTGAACAAAAAATAAAAATAAATTTACTTATAAAATTTTTTATTTAAACAAATAATTCATTATTTGACCAGCCACGTCATCTTTCCGTTAACAGCTTCAAGAAATAACCCATTATTTGATGGCATCAGTTGACGTGGCCCATCAAATAATTGATTATTTGTCTAAATCAAAATTTTATGAGTAAATTTATGCATATTTTTTTGTTTAAAAGTAAATTTATCCTTACTACTATACTTTAACGGTGGATTTAGTATTTTACCTTTTAAAAAGTAGTTTTACAAATAGAAACGCCTTTCACCCAAATGGCTTTTTATGAGTAAGTGTTTCTATTATTTAGGAAATAAAATTACCTCTATTTGATATAACAAGAGGTATTTTTTGCTAAAAATAGTCAATTATTTTTTAAAATGTAATAGATCATTCTTTAGATGAGACTTTTCAAAGAAAAAATGTATCATTATTTTTAGGAATCGAAGAAAAGTTGTTCACAAAATAATATATTGTTCATCATGAATTATTTCTAAGTAGAAAGAATGAATGAAATTAAGAATATTTTATTTTACAGTTCAAACTGTATTGAATTATAAAATAAGGGTTATTAGATAAAAGAGAGTCTATTTTCGTTCAATGATAAGTGTTGTGCAATCTAAAACAATCTAGATTGCATAATATTTTTTTTTTATATTAAAATCTCTAACTATAAGTATAATTTATCAATAATTTAAATAATTTAGTGATACATTTTTTAATGAAAGTAAAAAATTTTAAATTTAAATCATATGACGTGTAGATAAAATAGATTAAAAGATATTTGAATCACATAATATACAAATATAGTAAATAAGTTAAAAATGAGAAAGGATTATCATCATTATATAATCCAAAAAAAAAAACCTATAAATACAATTTTTGAATGAAATAACTAATTACGATATGCATTATAATCAATATCCATCATTTACCCTAGAATTTAGCCCAGAAAAAATAAAATTCATTTCCCCTAGAAGCTAACGAGCTTCAAGGCCTGAAGAAATTCCAGCCTGATGGTAAACAGACTTTGGAAGAAAATCCGAGAAGCCATTTTTGAGGGAAAAAAAAAAGTGCCATTACCAAACAGACCCTTAGAAGCTCTGTATAATCGGCTGATAATCGAGGTGGCCAACGCCGAGTCCACACGTCTCATTTATTGCAGCAAAGCAAATATGGTGGCAAACTTAAATGTCATTCCTAAGCCCACTTTCACGTTTTAAGGAATTTTTTTTAACGTAATTTAAATTACAGTAAATTATATAATTTAAATTATTAAATTATTTTTTTCATCTAATAATTTTGATTTTGTAATTTAATACAATATAAATATAAAACTTATTGTTACTATTATTTTTTATTAATCTTTACATTAACCTAAAACATTTCAACTTCATGTCACATTAAAAAAAATAAGTGCCCTCACCAGCGCGCAAACCCCAACAGGTATACGCAAAATTTAATTGTAGTGATCATAAAATAGTCCTTATTTATTTACTATGATATTTGCCAAATTTTTATTATTTTTATTCCTTCACCGATTATATATCTTTCAAACTGTGTTTGGTACCTGTCGTGCTGAAAGCAATTTCTTCCTCAGAAACCAATGGATGCATGGGGCAGTTGAGCTTGTACCATGCAAATTCAATGCCCCATCTAATTCCATTTCTCTTATATCCCTATAAAACCATGTCTTCTGGTTATAACACTAAGCATCAGGTTAAAGTGATTTTCTCTTCCGGGAATCCTTTGTTACATTTTTTCTCATTCCAAACATCAATGGGTTCTGGACAGCTCCATGTAGAAGTTGAGGTGAAGTCCCCAGCAGACAAGTTCTGGGGAATCATTAGGGACTCCGCCTCCGTCTTCCCCAAGGCCTTCCCTCAGGACTACAAGAGCATTGAAGTGCTGGAAGGCGATGGAAAGGCCCCGGGATCTGTAAGACTCGTAACATATTCTGAAGGTATAACTTCCGTGCCTTTTATTTGTACATTTGAATGTAGATTATGCAGCCGGCATCCAAGAAACAGTCCTCCCTACCCGTCGTAATGTTTGAACATGAAGCCTTTAATTTGGAAGTCTCATGCTCAAACTATTGAGATATCTACAATGGGACAATTTAGGCCCTTTATTTATTTATTTTTATTTTTTATGGGTATCAACTTTGTTTTTCAGGTTCTCCAATGATCAAAGTATCAAAAGAGAAAATCGATGCTGCAGATGATGCAGAGAGGTGGGTGGCTTACAGTGTCATTGATGGAGATCTCCTGAAATACTACAAGGTTTTCAAAGGGAAGGTCAATGTGATTCCTAAGGGAGATGGGAGCCTGGTGAAATGGTCCTGTGACTTTGAGAAGGCAAGTGAGGAGATTCCTGATCCAAATATGATCAAGGAATTTGCAGTGAAGAACTTCAAGGATATGGATGCCTTTGTTCTCCAGGCTTAGAAATGAAGGGCACACGCCCCTTGAGAGGGTTGTTGTCTAGCATATATGCACCATGTTTAAGTAAATAATGTAGGACACTCTGCCCTACCACGAACTCCTGAAGTTCTTGAGCTTTATTTATCAAGAGAACTTAAAATATATACATACATACATATATATATATATATATATATATATATATATCCATCTACCTACTGCTCCTTTTAAGCCAGGTTAAATTTCTGGATTTACATGTTCATGAAGATATATTTAGTTATATTAGACTTGAAATATTCCACCATTCCTATACCTACAAAATTTACAGTTCACATAAAAATTAAAAAAAAAAAGGCTTCTCAATGACCCCAGCCAATCTTCATGTTCATGTTGTTCAATCTCATCGTTTTGACACATCCAATAAAATCTGAATTGCTCAAGGTCTGGATGAGTTCCACCCTGGGATGCTCAAGGTCTGGTTGAGTCCCCACCCGCAGGCCCCTGTGAGTTTCTGCAACACTAAAAGATAGCAGTTAATTCTCAAGTTCTACAGCTAACCTCTTGTGCGAGGAAGCTCATGCTTTATCTATGCTAATACTTGTTTGCCAAAAAACAACAAAGAAGGCTATGCTAGTGATACTTTGATTGGAAAAGAAAACATGGAAAAATGCCGGTCATATTAATTGTCTCTTCACCGTTTTAAACTGTTCAAGTACACTTCATGAATGTTTAAGTATTTGACATAAAATGAAAATACTATGAGTTTTATTTGTTTAGTATTAACAACAGAGGCAATCCAAATGGCAAATGTGTATATATATATATATATTTATTTATTTATTTATGAATAGACCAAGAAAACAAATATTTTCTTTAAGATATTGGTGAAACTTAAAACATGTAATCTGTTATGGTCCAACATGAGTTTTTAGATAGGATGAGGACATGTCAATGTACTGAGTGGAAGAGAGAATGCTATATAAATCAATATATATATTTGACAAGTGACACCACTATACAGCAACCTAAGATGTAAATCATGTCCTCAACCACTGAACACCAATAGACATGAAAAGAAAACGAATTAAAAGTTCTTCAATCTCAATTTAATATGAAAGAATAACAAGAAATAGATTGTATAATACTAGCTCATAAATAAATGAACAGATTTATGAATAGGACGACAATGATTTCCAACAATAGCATTTTTTTTTTAAGGTATAAGTTTTACTCGTGTTAAAGTTTACTCTTTAGACATTGCAAGTAATTAAATGAAGTCTTTAGAATGAGAAACATGCTTATTTAATATAACTATTTGATTGGAGAATCCAATTCATATGAATTGAAATTTAAGAATAAAAATGCATTTAAAAGTATAAAAGCAAGATCAGTTTTCATTTCCTGACTCTATAACTAAAATTTTGATATAATGTTCATATCTTTAATCATATATGACCAGCAAAGCTGCGCAATAGATCCACAGACTCATTCCTCCCTTGAGGTTAAGGCAAAACTGTTGGAGCAGTAACATCAAAGCTGTGATGTTACTACCACAAAACAGCAAAATGGTGCAGCAATAAAGCTGCTTCAATGGAGGAAAGAAAGATGCAGCAAACTGCTGCATCATGGAAGAAAATGAAATGCAAATGCAAATGCAAATGGAGACTGCAAATTAGTCAACAAGAGTGCAGCAATGTGATAGTGTTTCAATGTAATTTTTATGTTAGTTTATGTATTGCAATATTTGATAAAATGTTAGGACAGATTTTGGAGGAAACATGTAACCACAAATCATGGAAAGCAGGTGAAAAATACTGTTTTTATGTTGAATTTTCTGTTATAAATGGGCAAGAGATGTTAATGGAAATTGGAGTGAGATTTGGAGAACTTCTCCTCTCCTCCCGATTGGGTGAATGTCTGCACCATTTCATGGCTATGTCACATTTATGTTCTTAGTTCTACTCTTCTCCTACTCTTCTCCTACTCTCCTCCAAGTCCTCTCTCAACCCTTTCTTCTTACCTCAAAAATCTAACAAAAACAATTAGACTAATGATAATAAACTGAACTTTGAAAAGTAAACATAAATAAAGGTAAAGAAATTATAATCCATACACCTTATTCATGGACCAAGATAGATATTACAGGTTGACACAACCATTATCACTATAGAAAGAGAAAGGGGGGAAAAATAATGATTATTAAGATGTTGATAAAAGAAAATTTTAAAACTGAGGCTTCAGAAATGGTAAA